ACCTTGTGTTGCCACAATTCGAATTTGAGTCCCAGCTAGCAAGAGCGTCATCAGTGGGCAATCAGATGCAAAATTCCTGCCCATATGCGTCGTCGTCCGGTGAACGGTTCAAGATCGAGCCAACAAAGCCTTGATCTATTTCAATTGCCCATTTGAAAATTAATCTGCAGTAGACAATTGAAATTGAGCCGGATCTTGTTAACTCGATCTCGAATCTTTCACTAAATGAGTTGAATCCTCCTCTAACTGCAGAGGAACCGAATGTGCCTACTTCCCTCCTAGATATTTTCATTACGCCAGGAGAAAAAAGAAGAAGAAAGACAGAGAGAGAGGGGGGGGGGGGGGGGGGGGGGGGGGGGAGGGGAGGGGGCTTGGTGTTAAGTATCACAAAAGATTAATTTATATTTTTTGAGTCTCTAATTTCTTTTCTCTTCCCATCTTTTAGTTTTTGTATAGCCATATATGATATATGTGCCAATAAAATCAATGTTGTTTTATTATTCACCAAGAGCTTGTTTGAATTGCATTTTTGAGCAATTTTTAAAGAAAAATTACTGTAACACTTTTTTAAGAATGCGATGTATATGAGGTAAAAAAATGAGTGAAAAATATGTAGATGGAGTATTGACAAAAAAAAAAAAACTCCAAAAAATCACAATCCAAACAAGGTCTAAAGATTATATTTTTAATAGGTATAAGAAGAAATCTCTTATTATAAGTTGGTGTCTTTCTTTTTGTCCACTTTCACTTTTGAACAATCGATTTGTTCTAATTGGAAAACATGATATGATTGCTCATATGAGAAAATTATAAAACATTTACTGCTAGGAAAGTTCATTTTGCATTACCTTTTGTGTATAGTATTTACTACTAAATTATTAGTCTTGGTTATTTCGTGGTTCTCTAATCTTGTACAAATCTTTTTTTTTTCTTTTTTGCTTTAAACTTTTCTCCAATGAGGAAATGGTGGGATGACATAAACTGTTAAACATCGAGGGCAAGGGGAATCCAAAATCTCTAATTTTTAGAACCTCAACCTTGTGTATAGTTTTTTGCTATAGGTGTTATATGCATCTTGTAAAGTACCTATAACAAACCAACGGGTACTTTTTTTTGTACTAGTACTATGTATATTAATGAGTACCAAAATTCGTTATAAAAACAATATATGCTTATACAATAATAACAAGTTGTTAAAGTTAAATAAACTCCATATTTTGAACATGTATAATTAATTTTAGGAATAAAAAATGCAATTTTTTTTATTTTGTTAAATTTCAGTTATGTTTGTGTCTTACAACTAGTGTTTATCCATATAATTAAAAGCTATTCCTTCACAACAATTTGAAAATCTGCAATTTCAATTGTTTGAGCTTTTTTTTTTTTTTGCTAGCAACGATACATTGTATAACCTATTCTATCCTAATTAAGGGGGAGGGGGAGTCTAAGGAGACTTGTGTTAGGGGTTAATGGGTATACAGATCCAACTAAATCAAGAGAGTGCTATGACACTATTCTTAGATTTTTTTTTTTGCTGCAGATGAGGTTTGAACCCTCACCTACAGCCCAAGGAGGGACTCAAGTCCTTTTCTGATAGCCACTGAGCTTAAGAAATCAAATTTTGATTCATATACAATAGGGAAGAGTAGGAGTTAAGAAAAAAAGGACACATTACTACACTAATCTAGATTAGCGCAGGGTCCAACTAGGTCAATGAGATTACAAGAGAAAAACTCAACTCCAATCTAATGCACCCCTAACTACCAAAACTACATTTTTTATTTTGGCTACTGGCCAATTCTCCTAAAGTGAGTTGATTAACAAACTGACATATAAATTTATAACAATGTATGTTTATACATAAACATAAATTTGGAAACCAGAAAGTAAGAATTACCTTTTAATTTTTTCAATAAGAAAAGTTTCAAAGAAGACACACTGCTATTGTTGTTATTCACATATAGGAGATAGTTCTAATATTGAAGAATTTAGAACTTCTCCCGAATTCTTGCAAAAATTATTTACAAAGCACAGGGTGTAAAGTAATTTTGATAGAAAAAGGCAACCAATATGAGTTTCGTTTGATGCAAAACAAAAGCATGAATATATAACAAACTTTTGGTTGATTTTTATTATTTTCTATTTCATGTCACAATTGAAATAAAATGTAAACGTATTAATTTTGAGAAATCCCATAATTATGCCCTCGTGAAATCACAAATATAAACATAGATAGAATAAGAAGGTAAATTTGGTAGTATTATTTGTCCATGCTATTGTCTTCTAGCCATTAAAGGAAAGTTGATGAAACCTTTTTTTTAAAAAAAAAGAAGCAAAATTCAGTAAACCGATACAAAAGCCACAAATGAGGTTGCTTTTTCTCTTTGAAACAATTAAGGAATAACCAAAGAAGGTATAGTTAAATGTTGATGCGTAAAAGAGAATAAGCCAAGTGAATAAAAAATTAGAGAATCAAGAATTGATGAGGTATAATTAGCCAAGAGAATAAAAAATTAAAGACAAAGCCTAGTTAATAATTGACAATGAAAGATAATATAAGATGGATTGGAGCATTAATTACGTTCAACATGATCATGTATAGACTTTAAGTCACATTACATCAAATGGCGACTTGGTGAAGGTAAATTTTTTAAAAAAAAAAATTGCCCTTTAACTTTATTTTCTCAAAAAGCTAGCGTGCAAGATCTTCTATGCCTTCTATAGATCATGAAATCTGGACCCTTTTCTAGTTAATCAAGAAAAGAAATTCTATACTTAGTAAAGTCCAGCTAACTGTTGAATGAAATTTCACCAATACAATCAACTTGACTTGATTGATTATTTGATAACAGAACTAACCAAATTGAGCATATCAGCATTTCACACCAGTGCGATTGGTAATTAGCACTTTCGAAATTTCACAGAGGTAACCATCATTGTTTTCCAGAGTGAAATGAAAGTGATTGTGCTTCCAATTAAATTTTATCTTGTTCTTGTCGAAAAATATATGCTGTGGCAATTTTTCTTTGATGTATGCTTAAAACGACTCGGATTAATTGGCAATGATGAGCAACCAATAAGGGTTTCTAATTTTCTTTTTCTTTTTAGAATGAGAGTGTACTTTATGTAAAAATGTGAAAACCCCAAAGGGTGATTTGATAATTAGCAACTTCCTATACATGAACGGAAGTCCCTTTTGTCATGAACTTCAAATCCCAAGTCATGGTCTGGAAACAAGAATGTATTAGAGCAACCTCCACTAAAGAAATGAACAGCCCTCATACGTAAATTTCATGCTAGAGATTATCCTTTGTCAAAGGCAAGTAAAGAAAACTAACCTTTTTTAATTTTTGTTTTAAGTGGAAGGTCTTGGGTCCAAGACCAATTCCTCCGACCTCACTGTCCAATCCAACCTGCCCCTACTACTAGAAAAAACTAATTTGAATATCATTCTAAAGAAAACTAATTTGAATATCGAATGAACACAGAGAAATGTACACCAAGATTGTGTAAAACTATGTGCAACAATTAAAAAGATCGTGTAAAACTTAGGCCCAGTTTGGATTGCGATTTTCCTTAGAAAAATTGTTACGTTTTCCGTGAACACATTTTCCTATCACCTTTTTATCTCACATATATCAAATCGCTACGGTAATTTTTCTACAAAAAAAATCCAGAAAAATGCAATCCAAATTCCATGGCCCCATCTCATATAGTATTATTTATTGCTCCATGAAATTAACTTTAGACCTAATTTTTACAATAATCTAAGTCCAGCTTTAATTACCACACATTGCACTTTAATCATGACCTTTACTATTAGGCAAGGCAATATATGCAAGTTGTTCTTGGATATAACTCAATATTCAACGTATTTCTACAAACTAGTTATCAGATAATTATCGCTGTCATCATCATTCCTATCTTTTTCAGCCATTTCCAGGGTGCAAGTGCAGCCGTACCAACTTTACAAAACTGGATATAGTTAGACACTAGCCAATAATTTACCACATGGACTTCGCTTGAAATGCTTTTCTTTCCCTTTGTCCCTCTCACGTATATAGTAATTAACCATTCTATCTTCGTTTAACATGATATTCTGTAATTCCATTCCTTGGTATAAAAACAGATAACACCTGAGATGCTAAGCTAGCTAGCAATTTCACAAAAACGTTAAAACCCTTTGATCTGACTTATTAATGCATCATCTATATATATATATATATATATATATATATATATACTCGTAGTTGTACATACATACGGCTGTGTGTGTGTCTGTGTGTGTTTTGGGTAATTATGTCATTTTAAGTTGTAACGGACTCTTGTTGATCCAGGAATGCAAAGCCGTATTCTTTAGTCGTTTGTATAAAAAGGGAAAATCTGTTTATAGAGAAGGTCTTTTTCAACGTCGAAAGGGAGAGAAAAAGAGAGGGATGGAGTTGGCGTCTTTTGCCCTCTACGCAGCTTAAAACACGCCGAGAGAGGCTAATATTCGAGAGACAGTCCCATTGACACGTTTCCACTTCTCAAAAACAGTATCGATTTATGCTAGTAATATTTTGCATTTCATTTCAATATTTCTTTCTTATTTTTTAGCCGTAAGGTGGTAGTAATCTCATTCAATAAAGCGGAAACAGTACCGAGTATATATATATATGCACTTGTTTGTTTGCAAGCCTCATCTTATGATCATCACCTGGCTATGTATAGTTGCATACATATCTTGAAAGAAAGCAAGAAAGCAATAAAGAGAAGAGAAAGAGAGCCGAGGAAGGAAGAAAACATGAGTTTAGTTAGGCAAATTCACGAGATGAAGGAAGATAAATTAAAAAGGCAGTTGGCTTATCGCATGTTTGCTTCACGCAAGCAGCTAAATGGGGTTTGCTTCATCGCGTGGCTTTAAAGACTTCATTTAGCCTTCAAAATCTCCCCCCCGTCCCCCCACCCTTCTTTCCCCCCCCCCCCCCCCACTAAAAACAAAGACTTCCACTCCAAACCCTACAAAACCCACCTCTCACCTCTCTATTTCTCTCTCGTTCTCTACATCTTTTGATCTCCATCTTTCTCTCTTTTGAGTCTACAGGTCACAATCCAGCAAGAACTGCAAAAACCCTAATTATGTGAGGTGAAAACTGCTAGGAAGGAAAACTGATTTCCACCCAAATATATACATATCATGAGTGCCAATACTAGCAGCAGTGCAAGTGGTGGGGCTGCCGGAAGCAGCAGCGGGAACACTGGCGGAGGGCCATGCGGGGCATGCAAATTCTTGAGAAGGAAGTGTGTGGCTGGCTGCATATTTGCACCTTATTTTGATTCAGAGCAAGGTGCAGCTCACTTTGCAGCTGTGCACAAGGTGTTTGGAGCTAGTAACGTTTCTAAATTGCTTCTACACATTCCGGTTCACAAGCGGCTCGACGCGGTCGTCACCATCTGTTATGAAGCTCAAGCTCGGCTCAGGGACCCTGTCTTTGGCTGTGTTGCTCACATCTTTGCTCTTCAGCAACAGGTAATTACTTAATTGTCTTACTAATAATAGAGAAGAATGATTTTCTTGGTTAAAGTTCCTTTTTCTGGGAAAGGGACTCTCAACTGTCCCTGCAAATTAATGTACAGTTGCTTGTGGTTTTTCACCTTTATCCTAGGAGGTCTTATCATAGTTGGTGAAATAAGGACATCCCAGGTCACTCTTCTTCCGTTACAATCTTCTAGCTGTTGCTTTTGCTTCATTTACTAGTCTTCTGTGGCCTGATATCATTTTTTAATCCTCCTCTTTTGTCTATGCAAACTGTGAACTTGTCTTCGTATATTTGTCTATGTATAGACAGCAAATGAGGTACAAATTAAATGAATATGCAAACGCAGGCAAGGTCAGGTATATAAGCGTCCTCTACAGAATAAAAGTATAATCAATAAATATATGTAAACTAGGACGATCCTTTCGGTTTCTAGGCTCTTGCAGCCAACCTTCTCTCCCATTTCTTTCTTAATTACTTCTTCGTCTTCTTCTTTTTTTTTTTGGTTTCTTCTTCTCAAGAATATCAATTTTTAGGACATGGGAACCGATTTATCAATTTTTTTTTTTATGGATGTAGATTAGAGTTCTCCATTGTCACATATAAAAATAGACGCACAAGTGTGTAACTGTCTGAATGCAAAAGTATGGTTGTCGAACATCTTTGTTTGGGAAACCCCATTATCGATGAGTTGATTGTGGAACTAGGGGTACCTGGGATCTGGTTTTGGTTGTCAGGATTTAAGGTTCCATTGAGTAAACCTTAAGGAGCAAGTTGGCACTTGGTACAGTACTATATAGTGGAGTATTTGGAATGTGGCTTTACAGATTGTAAACCTGAATAAATGTACTATGTTTGGATATAATGTTAGCGTACGTTAGGAAGATGCAACTAGGTACGTAACTCCCTTTTTAGTGTAAATAGTCAGCCCAGTTAAATTGCCATTTTCTGAAGTTTTTTTTTTAAAAAAAATGCACCGTAGCGATTTGACATGTGTGAGTTAAAACGACGATTAAAAATTGGCTGTCCAAACAATAAGCTTAGAGAAGAATGAGAACACAAGAAATTGTGGACCATGAATGTGGTGCATTGAGGATATAGTTTTATGCTTCGCTGAAATCTAGAAGGTTGATTGAATAACTTATGTTAGTCGGCGAGTAAGAAAATACTGTGGGGAATCAGTGGCTCCTCTTTTTTGCTGCAAAGATAGACGGTTTTTGCTGGTATTAAGGAGATGGTCGGCCGTGGATGGTACTGAACTGCTGTATCTTAGCTAAGAGGTCCAGCGTTCCACAGACATTGGGGGATAAATCCGTAATTTCTCCACAGAAATGCTCCATCCTCAATCCTTAGATTGCCTTTTTACGTTACGGATGAGTTTGGAGTTTGGAGTTTTATTTATGGAGAAGAAGACAAGCCTTTGGAGTCTGGAATTTACCAGATGTTGTGTTTTACAGTAAAGAGGAAAGATTAGAGCTTAACTCTTGATCATGTGGTTCTTGAATTTCGATCTTTTGGATTTTCTGAATGTTCCATTTAGTGTTCAATCTATGATCATCTTACCAGAAAGAGAGTGCAAAAGACAAAATATTTCACGATTATTTTAGTAGTTTTCGTGACATGAGGATCTCAAAATGATGCTCAAATGCATATCGTAAGCAGTTCTTAAATGCCCCCACAGAAAACATACGAATATAGGTATCTTCAACCAGCCTTTTGTTTTTCCTTTTTTGCTCTTGAATCATCAGCAATTGATGTCCCATGTGTTTGTTTAAACAGAAATGTCGTCTATCGCCTAATCTTGCAGTTCAACATTTTCCTTTGCTCTCTTTTATCACTCCAGCCCTTAACCTTTTTCTTTTGCTTTTCCTGTTTCACGTTTGGAAGATTAGGAGTTGGTGATGATCTGGTTGGTCTATCTAATCTTAAAACTAGAAGCTCAAAGCACATCATCGTTCGATAAATTACACACGGGGGAAGGGTTGGATTAAATGATAGCGTGGGAGAAATCATAAGTAGAAAGTTTTGGATTCAAAATCTTTCACTTACCAAAAGAAGAAAGTGCGAAAAAAATTGCACAATTTACTACCTTTCGATCTTCTGTAACATCTTATAGTAGGATTTAATCTTTGTACGGAGGAGACAGTCATGATAATAATCATTAGAATTTGTAAGCAAGTACAATGAAGAATATTCTTGTGTTCATTAATTCCAATTCTTACCTAATATTTGGACGTACGGTCCCTGTCAGGATGAATCAGGGCCTATTTATGTAGAATGGTGCTTAATATACATTAGTTTCAGGAGCATCATAATGTTTCCTAGCCTGTAAAGCATGCCATTTTATTTTGTTTTAGTTTTTGCAGATTCTGGATATATACCTCGAGTTTATACTTTAATTTGAACAAATTATTGAAGAACATCCATTGAAGTTCGATTTTAATTGTTAGTTTACCAACTTATTTAATTTGATTTCTCCATGTTAGGCGTCTCATTTGATCTTAGTGCTCATGTTTTCTTCTGAATTTGTGATCGCAGGTGGTGAACTTACAAGCAGAGCTGTCTTACTTGCAAGGCCACCTAGCAACCCTAGAGCTTCCTCCACCACCACCACCATCGGCACAGCCTCAACCAATCATTGCACCGCCTTCGCTCACCATAGCAGACCTGCCGACGGGTTCATCATCAGCACCAGCAACGTATGACTTGTCGTCACTTTTTGACCCAGTGGTGCAACCGCCGTGGACAATGCAGCAGCCACGCCAGATGGATTCTCATCAGTTTGGTGCTGCAAGAGCTCCGGCCGAGGCATCATCATCAGCCGGCACCGGTGATCTTCAAGAATTGGCCCGGGAACTGCTGCATAGACATCGGACGTCCTCCACAGTGCCATGCAATGAAGTACTACCTTTGCCACCCCACTCAAAATGAGACTCTGACCTTATTGACTAGTAGCATTAGGTTTTTGCATTATGGTCCCCCGGTTAAATTCGTCCTAAAGGCAATTTAACTATGATTTTTTCTTTTAATACAAAGGCAAGTAATTTCTATGGTTAATCTACTTATTTTATATTATTTTCTGTTCATACTTCATAGTATTGTTTTGGCTCGAATTTAATTCAAATTTAGTGTATACATGCTTTTGTAGATCATACTACTATGAATTTCTTTAGTACTAGTTACAAGTTGATGAATATATATATTGTGGATGCAAACTTAGCTAGCTGTCCGAAATTTTTCATATAAAATAGGACTTGATGGTATGCCATCCGTTGCAGAGAGGATATGAGGCTATTTGCTATGCAGTGGATGGTGTTGGTCTAATTAAGTGGTAAAAATATCAACATTAACAACTTTTTTTTTCAAAGTAGGTAGAAGAAGTTTTGATCTAGTGATTAAAGTTAAAATTTCAAAATTTAGAGTTTTAGATTCAAATACGTTAAAGTTTTGAAGGGGTTTTGATCCAGTGACTAAGGTTTTTTTTTTTTTTTTTGATACAATAGACTTACAATTTTTTGTATTTTTTTGCTACGGGGAGGGGAGGACTAGGGCTGTCAATGGGCCGGAATTCATTATTCCGAATCCGGACCAGGACCCGGATCCGACCCGTTTACCCGACGGGTCTTTTATTCTATGTTCCGGATCCGGCGGGTCCCGGATCCGGGTCGGGTCTACCCGAACAAATTTAGCAAAATTTATAATTTCTAATAAAAATGAGAAAAACATATATTTGTAAACTAATTTCTAACTAATGCAAAGAAAAAACCAAATAGGAAAAGAAATCAAATTGACTTTACTCAAATACATCACCCTAATCAAATTATATTGATAAATATATATATTTTAAATTATTAATTCATTTATATCCGGATCCGGGTCTAATACGGGTCGGAATACTATATTCCGTATCCGACCCCTTTTTTTGTTTGACAAAACGGATCCGGGAAACGGAATTAAATCCCTACCCATACCCGCAATAATTTCACGGATCCGGTCCGGATCCGGGTCTAGACCCGACCCGTTGACAGGCCTAGGAAGGACCTAAACAAGTCGGGAGAAATCGAAGGAGACTGAACTACCTACCGGCCCAGACGAGTGCATGACGCACTCGTCTGGAAGCCACTCAAAGTGGCTTGCCACATTTTTTGTGGCCAATGGTGGGACCTCCTACCCCACCAACCTTGGTGGTGGCCACTGAGCTTCAGTGACTAAGGTTGAGATTGCAAAATTTAGAGGTTTTGGATTCGAATGTTTCAGTCTGTTTCCTCATTTTTTAAATTCTATCCATCTCTTGTTAGGAAATTTTTTTTTTAAAAAAAAAAACTTTTTATGAATTATGATTTTTTTTTTTTTTTGAAGGAAAGGGCAGAGAAGAAAAAAGTGAGGAGAATTCATAAAAAAGGCTGAAAAAAGAACAAAGAACAAACTCTCCTGTAAGCAAACGGCATGTTTCTACTCAAATGCCTCCTTGTGAATCATTCGCTCCGTGCAGCCATAGCCTGGCCTAAAACTACTAGTTTCGGTTTAAAAATTACTTACTGGTTTCCATTCTTTTGAAAGGTGAAGCCAGAATTAGTCATTGTAGGGACAATTACAATTACAATTTTGGAATCTCCGGTTTCGATTATAGTTACTTATTTTTTATTACAATTTCGGTTTTTTCTAGTTACGGTCCCTATTCTTTGAGTTATGTGTAAACACTTGTTATTATAATATTAATTCTAAGAAAACATGACAATGAATATAGAAAAAAAAAAAGAATTTTATTGTATTATCGTGCGACAAGGAAAAGAACAAATGATACAAATTCTATGAAAAAACTTCAAAATTTATTGAATGTTTTAAATTAAATAAAAAGATACATAATTTTCTCATTATCGAAATAGAGAAAAGAAAAAACATCTGAGTTAATCAAGCATCGTCTAGGTTGAACCAATTTGGCCCAAGTTAATTTTTTTTTTTTGTAAGATGGTTTGAGCCCAACATGAATCGCCATTCCAATTCAAATTTTTGATAAATCGAAACCTTTAATCACGGTCATGGTCCTCGTCCTAATTTCGGTTTTCCAGTTCTGGTTCAATAAACTGCCCATCTTTCCGATTCAAAGCTAAACCGTGGCCTAATTCTATATAGATAACTTAAGTTTTAATTTCTTTTATAGAGATGCACGAGTTAACACATAAGAATATGTGTTTCCAAACCTCATAATTAAGAAAAACTTCTATGCTTAGATCATAAACACGTTTTCTGATTATCTTTTTATCCTTTTAATCACAATTTTATATCTTATACATCATATTACAAAATCCTAGTACCGTATTATTGCAAAAAGAAAAAAAGAAAAAAAAAGCCTTTCCAAATAATGAGGCATCTAAACACTACTATAGGATGTTGATCTAGTATTGCATTAGGATCTAGGATGTTGGTCTAATGTTAGCTTACACAACCAGGTCAAAAGAGCAAACAAAAAAGAAATCCATTAATGTACACATATACAAGGGGTATTGGACAGAAGCTTGTAGAAAAATCGATAATTGGAGAAGCCCATGTAGGCTCTTCGTCCAGTCTTATTTGTCTGTTTGATAGTTGATACTACTAGATTAGTGTTGCGAACTAGAGAAAAAAGTACTAGCAGTTGGAAAGGAACAAATTAGTAAAAGGAATAGGCTAAGAGAAAACCACTCAGTGCACACCAAGGTGGGTCTTAAGATCCTGCTTGAACTGTAGGTGAGGATTCAAATTCCACCTGCAGCAAAGAAAATCTAAGGATTATGTCAAAACACTTCCTTGATCTAGTAAGGTTTGTATATCTACTAGCTCCCAATACAAAGCCTCGTTAGACTCCTCCTCTCCAATAATTTAATATGTAAAGGTTATACAATTACCGTCTCGATAAAAAAAAAAAAAAAAAAAAAAAGTCTAAGAGAAACATAAAACCCCCATGGCGTCCCGTGGCCTGAGAACCCCAGACTTCATTAAGCTGCAGTCTTTCCTGGCCAACTCAAGGATATGGGGCTTCTTGCAGTTGCTCTGCATTGCCTATTCCAAGCCGAGGTGCCAGTGGTCTTGAAGCCAATTTGCAAGCTAGAACAAATCTAATGTCCATTGTAACAATTAGTAAGAAAAGGGCTGCTGTTGGACTGTGCCGCCACCACGAACTCGGCTTAACATCAGTTCACCTCCATAACAGCATGATTTCTACCATCAACCCTCAGTCCAATCCATTTTACTTGCAAACCGGAGAAAGAAATTACATCAAGAGTAAAATTGAATGGCTAAATGAAATAATTTAAACAAAAACAGAGTAGTATTACTGCATTGGATGTAACGGATGAAGGATACTCTTCCTTTCTGTTCAAATTGGAAGCCTTGAATTTTAACACAACTTAAAACCAAACAGCAGTCAAATCCAAGTTAGAATCTTTGTGCAAGCCACCGTCTCACAGGAAGAGTCAAATCAATCATTTACACATTAGCTACCTGTACTTGTAGCCAATTACATTAGCTTAAAAAGTCTCCTTATGCCTGATAACTAAATCAAGGTGCCCTAACCCACCAGCAGTGTGAGGTGCTGAGTCACATTTTTATCTTTTTATATCAGTTGAAAGAGCCAGTCCCAGATGACGCATTACAAGTTATTTTGCCAAACAACCAGTAGATGCTTTTAGGCTTCAGCAGGCAGCATTTCAGATATAGTCCAGCATATACAGAGGCAACTCACTGTCAACATGCGTATGCGAAGCATAATACTGTGCAGCAAAGCACATTGATCCATTGCTTCCCAGAATTCATAGGTATAGTTGTGTGAACCACAGGAGAGACCTGAAAAGAGCAGCCAAGACCAAGGCCACTAAGTCAAAGCAGAACATGTACAGCTGCTGTTTAAGCTAAATAAAGACAGCCCATTTGGAATCCAATGCAAGAGAAGAAGGCTGGACGCAGGGAGGTGGGAAAGAAGGCAGCGTAGGAAATGCTATGAGAGGTTTACAATCAACACTTACCTTCTAAACTCTCCAAGTTGTACTGTTCAAAGTTCGCTGTTTTCATTTTTCATCACCTCAGCCTTTAAGACTGTTCTTCAAGTAGATCAAAATAAGCAGAAAATTTTAAAGTGAAACCAAAAGCAATGCTTATTATTGAGCTGTCCTCAATGCATAATCTCTCAAAATCTGCTCTACTTCCTCCACAACCCCTAGCCTTTGAAACCATTTAACCAGTACTTCTGAAGCTTCTTTTCCCAGCAGAAAACCATCCCTCTCAAGGTCTGTCAGAAAGTCAAGTGCCTTGCTCAGCTTGTTGTCCTTTTCATAAACAGCCAAGACTAAGGAGACACACTTATCATTTGGTTGAAGACCAGATCTCCTCAAATTCTCAAAAACAATACAGGCCTCACTGCTCTGACCTGCCACAACGTATGCATTTATTAGAAGTCCACATACCTTGGCATCAGGTATCATTCCTGCTAACTGAATAGCGTCAAAAACCCTTTGAGCTCCTTTGCTGTCACCGTTCATGGAATATGCTCGCAGCAGTGCTTTGTAAACTTCTCTTCCAGCATAAATATTTTCAGCTTCCATTTCCTTTAGCAAACTCTCTCCCTGGCTAAGCCTTCCAGCTCTTATGTAAGCCATGATCATTGAACCATATGACCTCCTGTCCAGTGGAACACCAAGCAGCTTCATCTCTTCAAATGTATCTTCAGCTAACTTAAGGTTACCAGCCTTGCTGTACATATGAACTAAAGCTGTTAGAGTAACCTGATCACAAATAAAGCCTCCTCTCTTCATGGCCAAGAAAGTATTTTCAGCCTCTTGCACCTTTTTTAGCTTTGCGTAACCATGTATTATCTTGGTGTAATCACGCACACATGCTTCAAATGATTCCTCCATGAGAGCGAGTCCAGCCAACTGATTAAGGACTCATAGAGTTTAGTAAGTGTACTTAAGTTATGTTTTAGTAAGCTCAATTCCGCTTCATATGAACAAACTGCACAAGTTAAAAGCTAAAGCTACCATATTTCTAGCATATTTATAAGCGCTGCAACATTAACCATTTCATGAAATACATTATTTTGAGAATGATATGTACAAGAAAGAAGAACGTAGCAGGCTATGTCTTTAGTCCAATTCGATGCTTTGATAAATAAATTTGACAAAACAAACAAGCTTAGTGTCATTCACTGAAAGTTTTTCTCTTTCTCCTCAACTTAAGAACTCATCCAAGGAAATATAATAAAGCAGAGCAAAATCAACATTTACATCAATGGACATGTCCGCTAAACAATCTTTTCCTGCTTTATAATTCCAGGTTATCATCATCTCAAAATCAATTTTTCTACAACTCATTTGCTATACAACAATTACAACACTGGAATCTCAGATAGTGGAAACTCCAACTGCATATATTATGTAAGCTTACAGCGAAACAGAAACAAGCATAAACCGCAAGGAATATTTATTTATGTTTATAAGTTTTTGAAAAATATTCAAAAATTTCCTACAGATTTCAAGGGCATTTGACAAAGATTAACCTTCTAGAAATAAATGTAGTAGTCAAGATCATTAGGTAAACAAGCAGCATTCCAGAGAACAAAACAGAAGAGCTAGAATGGGAGTAACCAAACAGAAAGGCTAAAGCGGCTCCAATATCCAGTTATCGGCATTTAATGAACACAACAAAAAAAAAAAAGAAAAATTTGACCTCGAGGTACAGTGGATGCTCTAATCTGCTCAGTTCTTTGAGAGTCAGAAGCCAGTCGGCTCTCTTGGGTTTCATACTCTTCACCCACACTGCCAACAAATCCGAAAGATTGCCCTTTTCTGGTTTGAAGCAAATAATCTGCTTCATTAAGGCTTTGCATCTGTTGGACATCTTTAGTGGGAGCTGTGCAATAGCCTGTTTCTGGTCCTCATTAATATCAGGGCCTACTTTAACCCACCTAAACCTTGGTTTATCTTCCTGTTTGACCTCAAATTTCTCCGTCTCAATTTCATTTTTCACAATCACTACTGGCCCATTATTTGATTTTGAACATCCAAAACTCGAGGGAATTTGCCATAAAGACTTGCCCCATAGAAAGCAACGCAGGAACTCAAGATTATTTTGACTCGGTCCAACAATGCTGTCCGTAAAAGAAAGCATTTTGCAGTCGTAGAAACCCATTACAAATACGACCATACAATAAAACCCAGAAACTTTCTTTCGACTTCTTAACTAGCTTAACAAGTTAAGCTTGCTGAGGAATAACGTCAAACACCCGATGTGCATGTGAAATCCCAACGAAGCAACCGTTTTACAAGTTCACGGAGTAAAATTTGCAAGATTATCAAAGACCCATTTATCTAGTTCAGTCCCGTCGGTCCATAGGCCCAGTTGATCCCTTAGAATAGGATAGAATAAGAGTAAAAGTAGATGTAAAATAAACAAATATCGAGTCTCAAAAAAAAAATCAAAGACCCGTTTATACCGTAAGAAGATGAAGAAGGAAGCAAGAAAACGGAGTCAATGGAAAAGGCGGACCACGCAACCAATAAGAGAATGGGTGATGGAGAAAGTTGAAAAGAAACCAAGGATAGAAGTGGGCTCGTTGAATTCTTAGCAGTAGAGGGGTGGAATTGCATTTCTCAAAGAATAACAAACTCTGCATATTGGACTGACTTAGATAGGATATGCCACATATAGGTTGAAAATTGAGCAAGTTACTCCAATCAAGTTTGGCTTGACCAGAGTTGGTTCGAGTTTTGTTTATCAACTAATCAATTTAAATTTGAATAAATTATGTTAGATAACATTCAAACTCAATAATATTAAAATATTAAAAAAAAAGTTTATTCAAATTCGATTCAACAAAAAATTAGTGTACTTATTGCACGTTTTTGTGTACCGTCGTATGGATCAAGCATAGTTACTTTGTTATATACATTATGAATGTCTTGCTTCAATGTGATTGCATCAAAACAAAATTTTAAAAAAAAAACTACACATATATATCTTTGAATTTGCAAGTGCGACACAAGTTTTAACACTTTTATACGTTTTAAAAACAATTTTTGAAATAGTAAATTATCAACATTTCTTAAAATTTTCAATGTTAGTAGTGAATTACATAGTCCCTCCCAAATCTATACTATATATAGTCTGAAAAAGGGGTTTGGGGTTAACATTAGTGTTAACATTTATCATCATTTTATGAATTTACATTTTTACCCTTATAAAAATTACTTTTATTTTAATTATCCATAACTACCCATGATTATTTTTTATTTTAACTATTTAAGTATATGTTTTCAACATTCTAATAAATATTATAACTAACGATATAAAATTATTTTATGAAAAATATTTAAAAGATTAAAGTTTGCTTCAATAATAAAAATTTTATATAAAATATACAACGATAAATATATGTATTTTTTTTTATTGCACACACATTGGGTGTGAGCACTAGTTCCAACACTACATTACATATTCCAATGAATACATAGATTGAAACTTCCTCAAATTGATTGAAACTTCCTCCGCCATTTGGCTAAGATCAAGCGTAGTTTCTGTTCTGCTCATATCAGTTTTAAATTGATTCAAACTTTTTAAGTAGTTCTTACTCATGCATTGTTGCCAATTAGCATGTGATGGCAGCTTTGGCAATTGCAATTTGCCAATTAGATGTGTTACGCGCTGGTCAATAACTTTGGTGACACTCGTACATTTCTTCATGTTTATTCCATCCTTCTTCGCCAATCCCCAAACCAAAAAAAGATTAAAAAAAAACAGCTAATTGGTCATAAAACCATTTTTATGTGATCTGAATAATGTCCTCATATCTGCGGGACACCATCCCACATCGGTTGATCGTGGAGTATTTACTTTGGATTTAAGATCCATAGGAGCACCTTCCTGTCACCAATTGGTTGGATGGGTGTTTCTTGTAGATCCTCCTTAGATTGCTTTCGGGCCGGTTTGCTGATGCTTTTTGCGTGTCTCTCGCTCTCATTTTGTTGAAGGAACTTCCATGTGCATCCTCATTTTTTTTTTGTTAATTACACTCTCGCAATCATGTTAATTAGAGAGTTTTTATTTACTAGATTGTATGATAAAACAAATAGTGGGAGCGCAAAAAACAAAAAATGAAGTGCAAATAATAGTTCTCTTACTATATTGTTCAATATTCACGGACTATGCTTTGTCCAACATAATTTGTACTCTTAGGTCCTGTTTGATAGTCTAATTCAACACTTAAATTTAATAGGTTCAGATTTTAACATGCTCATACGCGTTTGATAACAAAAAAAAAATATTTAAATTAATTAAGTAGCACTGCATTTTCTAAACAAAACTTGCACCGAGTGATTAAGGATGCATTTGATAAAATTGATGTATGCAAATTGTAATCTAAAATCTGAATCCATTAAATTACTAACTTGTTAAATACTAATTTGATACATTCGAGAAATAAGTGATAAGTTATTCACTTATCAATTATATACTCAAATGTATCAAATTAATATTTATCAAGTTAGTAATTTAATGGATTCAGATTTTAGATTACAACTTACATACATCAATTTTATCAAATGCATCCTTAATCACTTAATTAAGATATGCATCCAATTAGTCAAACATTTTCCATGTTATTCCGCCTACCAAAAGATGACGAGAAAGAAAAAGAAAAGAAGAAAAAGATGACGACAAAGAAAATACGTTCTAATGCTTCAATAATTCTTATTAGTTCAATATGACACTAATGTGTATTCACAGGATAATAAAAAGTTTTCTATCGTCCAAATGAATCATATATTTTGTAAAAACTTATCTAAAATATAAAAATTGACTAAGATATTTCGTAATATCTTATTTATGTTACAACTGTTGTCACAATCACGTGCTCCTCTAATTTTAAAAGTCATTTTCAGTCTCAAATGCCAATAAATTACTGTGTTTGGACAGCCAATTATTTGGCCAAATATATTTGCTGACATCATCATTACAATTTTCAATACACCTTTTTATCTTCGCAATTACTTTTTTATCTCATATCCATCACATCACAAAAAGTGCTACAGTAAAAATATTTCAAATAACTTACAATCCAAACACACTCAAATTAATATATACTAAACTCACTCAAGAGTGATCTAAATTAAAGTAATCACCAAAAAATAAAAAAAAGTAAAGAAATTCTTCCATTTATTTCCTCGTGCAATTGAAATTTACGTTACACGTTAATCGTTATAGAAAAAATCTCCTCATTACTCCGACAACTGATAATTACTAATCAAACATCGTCCGGTATGGTATAGGTCAAGTTTCAATCATAATCCGTGATGATAATCCGTAATAATACCGATGAAATCTGCAACCTCCACAAATAATTAGCCATTTCCCGGAAACTTCTTCTTCTTCAGAATTCAGATCCTTCCTTCATCTGTCATCAGAACCTCCATTTCCGTTTTCCTCCTCCGATCTGCATCAACGACGTCGTCGGTCGCTGCAGTCAAACCATAGGGATGTATTAGTCATTTCACTTCGCGGACAACTTTTAAACCAACGCCAACCGCGATCTGGGCTTCCTAGACCTCGAGCAGTTGCACCACCGCCGGCCCTTCTCCCCCACCCCACCCCACCCCACGCCACCCCCACCGCATTTCTCCACTCTCCACACGCTCCCCCCGCCTTCTTCCTCCGCCTTCGCAGCCGCCGTGGAAGTGGAAAGACTGTAATAGCCCTCGAGAGTTGCTTTGCTGCTTCCAGATCTAGCCGCTGCAGCCCCCCCAGTTGCGGGGAATGGCTTCAACTGAAGCTGATTCCCGACTCAATTCAGTCTTGATTCCAGCCCTAGAAAAGATCATCAAGAACAGCTCTTGGCGCAAGCATTCCAAACTCTCCACCGAGTGTAAATCCATTATCGAACATCTTACCTCACCCAATCAAAGCCCTGCCACTCCTACTCCTCCCACTTCCCCTTCCGCAGCCCAATCCGATGGCGGCGGCGACGCCACGGCACCTACGTCCTCAGCTGGAGTCCTCCTAGACCTCTCTTTTTCCGATTCGGAGCTCATTCTGAGTCCTCTCATCAACGCCGCCAACTCGGGCCACCTCAAGATCGCCGAGCCCGCCGTCGATGCTGTTCAGAAGCTCATCGCGCATGGCTACCTCCATGGCGAGTCCGACCCCACTGGAGGACCCGACGCCAAGTTGTTATCGAGATTGATTGAATCCGTATGCAAATGCCATGATTTGGGGGATGAATCGGTGGAGTTGCTGGTCATCAAGTCGATTTTGTCTGCGGTGACGTCCGTCTCCTTGCGAATCCATGGGGACTCATTGCTGTTGATTGTTAGGACGTGTTATGATATCTATTTAGGGAGTAAAAATGTGGTGAATCAGACAACGGCGAAGGCTTCGTTGATTCAAATGCTGGTGATTGTTTTCCGGCGGATGGAGGCCGATTCATCGACTGTGCCACTGACTCCGATAGTGGTGGCTGAGTTGATGGAGCCCACGGAGAAATCTGACGCGGACGGGACAATGACAATGTTTGTGCAGGGTTTCATCACGAAAATTATGCACGACATTGATGGGGTTCTGAACCCTGCTACACCTAGAAATGGGGCCACATCCGGCGGGGCCCACGATGGGGCCTTTGAGACTAAAACATCTACTGTGGAATCGACTAATCCAGCAGATTTGTTGGATTCCACTGATAAGGATATGCTGGATGCTAAGTACTGGGAGATTAGTATGTATAAGACTGCGTTGGAGGGGCGGAAAGGGGAATTGGCGGACGGGGAGGGCGAGAGGGATGATGATTTAGAAGTTCAGATTGGCAATAAGTTGAGGCGGGATGCATTTTTAGTGTTTCGAGCTTTGTGTAAGCTGTCAATGAAGACACCGCCTAAGGAGGCGTTGGCAGATCCACAGTTGATGAGAGGGAAGATTGTGGCACTGGAGTTGCTCAAGATTTTGTTGGAGAATGCCGGGGCTGTATTTAGGACTAGTGAAAGGTACTTGATTATAGCTGTTGGAATTTTTTTCCTCATACTACATTGTTCTAGTTTTTAGGAATCTTGCTGCTTGTGCAAGTATTTCACTTATATTATGCATGAATATTGTAGTTGGGGCTTTTCTTGAGTATTTAATCCTGGGAATCTCGCTCAAATAATAAAAGGCAGGTGATGAAATGTGTTGGATTTGCTTAGGCCGTGTGTTAATTGGGAAATTCAACAAGCAAATATATGAATTAGCTTGGTGAGAGGTGATGTTCATATTGGAGATAAAGCAAATTTATTTCTCTCATATATCTTTTGGTAAAAGAGTCAAGAGTACTTGATGCTATTATTCATTGTAGTAAGGTAGTTGGAATTGGTTTGTAAATGGCTTGTCTGGGTAAACGATCTCAAGGATTTTAGTAAGTATCATGCTTTACATGACAATATTTCTTCACTTTCAGCTTTTTGTGTCAGGCCACTTTATGAAGCAATTATCATTTTGCTGGCCCATTGCCCTCTGGACTAGGGAAAGGGTATATGGCTTATGAGGAAGCGCATTTCATGCTTTCTGGTGTACAATGGAAGAAAGTAGTTCTAGTGCATTAGGAAATATGGATCTTACTGTGAAATAGAAAAAGTATGACTTTTATGACTGTTTTTCAAAACTGAAGGTTCTTTTCCTAGATGTGGACTTCTTCTTGGTATATATGGGAGGCCTTGGCTTTTAGATAAATAACTGCATGATTTTGGTACACGGGGATTGTTCTTCCTCTTTTTGGTGCCCTGATTTCAGTATTTTTGCTCACTCTTTGTTGCGTGTGTGTAGATATTTTTGTGCCAATTAGATTGGATGTGATGTTGCCCCAAAGGGAAATTAGTTGTCTGTGGTAAAATGCTCTTTAGTCACTTGAGTTTTGCATTGGTGTTGCAAGTCTTAACACAATTAATTCTGCATTACCAGAATTTGGAGCATCAAAGTGTAAAGTACTCTTAAACTTGCATATATGGGATGCTACATTGCTGCAGAATAAATTAGCTGGAGAAGTTATATACGTAATTGGATGGTGCTTTTGAGGTTCTTCTTTTGAGTTTTAAAGGAGATGCATACAGGGAAATGAAATATGCCTTGTTGGAGTAAAAATTTTTATGTCCATTTTTTACATTGCAGCAAAAATAGATATTGCAGTTGGGATGATATCAAAGAATATGCTACTGACGTTTCATGATTTTTGACTGTCTTAAAGTGACTTCCTAGATAATGACACGTGATTCTTGAGGCGGAATTGTCTATACCTATTGTGAGAATCATAAGAAAGTACCAAAAGCTTTAACTCTTTCTGAATGTCATCTGAAAATTAAGGAAGCAGAACTTTGAAGCTAGTAGTTGTTTTCTTTTCTTCTTGTGCAGCTGGACATTGAGACAGCTGCTGGGGTTGTGGTATTTGATAGTATCAGAAAGTCATCTTTTAAGCCCAAAGTGGTGTTATTTCAATGTTATGCCTTCTCTGGTTAAAATATGTTTACTGATATGTATACTCTGTTACCGCTATTTCTTTTCTTGGTTATTCTCCTCTCTCTGGAACACACTTCAGTCTTTTAACGATAATTAGATAGGCGTCCCATACCCCCACCAGAAGGGTTTCTTTTCATTTCTTGAGTTGTTTTCTATATTAGCATCCAACAATCTCCTAGCATGCAGTCCAAGAGCTTCCTCCTCCTTGGTGGTTTGAATTGCTGACTTTTGATGTTAACTATTTTACTTCATTTGAGCTTCAAATGTTTCAACACTTCATACTAGATTTGTATAGACATGCTTGACTGGAATATAGAAAATGCATTCCTTGAAGTGGCCATAAATAGCAACGATGTGACAGCAGTTTATACTGAGAAATTGAGTTCAAGGAAACTGTCACCTAAAATAATGTTTGAATATGTGGAAAGGAATTGTGAGACGATTGTACCTGGTCAAAGCAGTCTTGTAGTTTTCCACATATTAATCAGTTGCACTTGAAGTATAATACAAGTACTGAGTCTACCTCTTCGCCCATTGTGGATTACAAGAAATGCATGATAATGTTTGCTATCAAAAACTGTTTTCATAGAGATATTCTTTGAATTTTTCCTGAGTAATAATATATGATGTCCTGTTATATTGGAGCAAAGGTGTATTTAATCTAGTGTTGAAGAGACTTTCCTTTGCTAATTCAAACCGATTGTGCTGCAAGCTTGGTCTAGTTTGCTGTTATATCTGTGTTTGATGTACTCATCATAGAAGGTAGTCGTAGCATTTCTTGTGGTCAGGATTGATTTCCTCAACTGTATTTCTTATTTGTTGATAAGTTTTCTCCATTTCGTATTTCAATTGAGAAATGCTCTTCATTCTAATTCATCATTTTTCGCTACTTCTACCTTTGGATAACAGGTTTTTAGGGGCTATAAAACAGTACCTGTGTCTGTCATTATTGAAGAACAGTGCATCAACACTCATGATTGTTTTCCAGCTTTCCTGCTCAATTTTCATCAGTCTGGTCTCAAGATTTAGGGCTGGACTGAAGGCGGAGATTGGAGTCTTTTTTCCTATGATTGTTCTCAGAGTGTTGGAAAATGTTTCTCAACCAAATTTTCAGCAAAAGATGATAGTTCTTCGATTTCTTGAGAAACTTTGTGTTGATTCGCAGATTTTGGTGGACATATTCCTTAACTATGACTGTGATGTGAATTCTTCTAACATATTTGAAAGGTAAAATCTGTTCAAAGTTTTTCTGTTTTATTTTCTTTGAGCCTCAGTTATGCATGACCATTGATGATTCTAGGTACAGTTTCCATGGAAATATGATCCTTAACAGTTACTAACCATATGTTATCTTGGCTCATCTGAAACGTTATCAATTTTTTTTATACCTAATTGACTCTTACAGAATGGTAAATGGACTTCTTAAAACTGCTCAAGGTGTCCCACCTGGAGCTTCAACTACTTTGGTGCCACCTCAAGATGTGACCATGAAGCTAGAAGCTATGAAATGTTTGGTTGCTATTTTGAAATCGATGGGAGACTGGATGAACAAACAATTGAGAATTCCAGATCCTCATACTGCAAAGAAATTTGAGGCTGAAAATGGTTCTGAACCTGCAAGCCTCCTAATGGCTAATGGCAATGATGATGATCCTGTTGAAGCATCAGATTCTCCTTCTGAAGCATCCAGTGAAGTTTCTGATGCTTCGACAATTGAGCAGCGTCGTGCTTACAAACTTGAACTTCAGGTGGTAATAAGTATCCATGCATATTAAATAGGTGGTCGATTGTAGTGTCTGGCATCTTTAAATGGTATATCTGATATTGAGTTTTGTTTATAATTTGTTGCAGGAAGGCATATCTCTTTTTAATCGTAAGCCAAAGAAAGGCATTGAATTCCTAATAAATGCGAATAAAGTGGGAAACTCTGCAGAAGATGTTGCTACTTTCCTGAAAAATGCCTCTGGTTTGAATAAGACTTTGATTGGAGATTACTTGGGGGAAAGAGAAGATTTATCTTTGAAAGTAATGCATGCATATGTAGATTCCTTTGATTTTCAAGGCATGCAGTTTGATGAGGCGATCAGAGTCTTCTTACAGGGCTTCAGATTGCCTGGTGAGGCCCAGAAGATTGATAGAATCATGGAAAAGTTTGCCGAACGGTACTGCAAGAGTAATCCTACGGTTTTCACCAGCGCTGATACAGCCTATGTTCTTGCATACTCTGTTATTTTGCTTAATACTGATGCTCATAACCCTATGGTCAAGAATAAGGTAGGTTATTGTTTTACTCAATGTCCAGTGGAATTCCACTGTTTTTTAATTTTTTGGTTGAAGTGGTGTATTAGTAACTCTAGACACGAAAGGACTGGATATGCACTCTATTCATTCAACATTGTTCTGCTCTTTCTTACTTTTGCCGATGAAATGTACAGATGTCTGCTGATGATTTTATAAGGAATAATCGTGGAATAGATGATGGAAAGGATTTACCAGAAGAATACATGAGATCATTATTTGAGCGGATATCAAAGAATGAGATTAAAATGAAAGAAGATGATTTCTCTATCCAGCAGAAGCAATCTGTGAACTCAAATAGAATTTTGGGCTTGGATAGTATTTTGAACATTGTAATCCGCAACAGAGGTGAAGAAAATCGTTTGGAGACTAGTGATGATCTCATGAGACACATGCAGGAACAATTTAAAGAAAAAGCTCGTAAATCTGAGTAAGAGCAACCATCTCAAATTGCGTTTGCTTGTTTATTTTTGCTCTCTTTTATGAATTTATTTGGATCACTTTATCTTTGAGTTGCATGTGTTACACAATGGTACCAAGAAGAAAATGAGGAAAGGCATAGGAGTTGGAGTGGGAAGAAATGGTGGAAAAAATTAAAATATAATCTATAAAAATTAACAAAAAGTGTACGCAGCCATCGTAATTGGTATTCATGTAGTTGATATATCCGAATTTAGATAGTTTTTTTTCCCTTTTGAGAATTTCCCTTGGGAGGACTTTCAGGTTTTTTATGTATGTGGTGGTATTTATGTTTATAAGAAAACAGAGATCTGAACTTCTATGTTGATTTTACTCTGTATTGTTTGTCTACATGCTGTATTTTTTGAAGAAAAATGATGATTTAGGAAAAGAGTTTTGGTTAAAGATATTGTAATCAGGTACTAGGAGCGCTTCAGTGAGGCTGTCTTTAAGCAAAAATGCATGGGCTCATGAGTGGATATTAGTCTGGTAGAGATAACAAATTTCATGCTTTGTTACATGTGGATTTTAACTTCAATCAAGACATGTTTCTGTAATTTTTTGATGTTGAAGTTTCTGACTAATCTAACTAGATGTCTGTACTTTTTAAAAAAATAATAAATTATTGATAACCTATATTCTGCTGCATTAATTGTGTAAGCTTTGTTTTTTCATTTTATATTGCTGCTTTGGACCTCTCTTTTCCTTTAGTTGACCAGGTTCGACAAGTTTTGGACCATAAGTTTGTGTAGGTCTTGATGTATGACTTGCATTGGCATTTTGTAGGTCAGTCTATTATGCAGCAACAGATGTTGTGATCCTTCGATTCATGATTGAAGTATGCTGGGCACCTATGTTGGCTGCCTTCAGTGTTCCTCTTGACCAAAGTGATGATGAAGTTGTAATATATCAATGTTTGGAAGGCTTTCAAAGTGCCATTCATGTCACCGCAGGAATGTCAATGAAGACTCATAGAGATGCTTTTGTGACATCACTAGCAAAATTTACTTCTCTCCACTCTCCTGCAGATATCAAACAAAAAAACATTGATGCTATAAAGGTACAGACCTCTAACTCTCTTTATAAGCTACAAGGTCATTATTAGTGATGGCTGTTCTCTGATGTTTTAAGATGTTTATTGCACCTTGTCTATCTCAAGGAGATGATTATGTGGTCCCTTGCATTTATCGGCAGTTAACTTTTCTCAGTCTTATCTTTTTGTTGGTTTTCTCTGGGTTCAATTCTTAGATTCAGATTTTTATTTGAGATCAGTACTTAGCGCACAAGAATCATTTTCAAAAGTTGAAAGCGGTATGGAGGAAGTCTCAGATTCATGAAGAATCATTTCAACATACAATGTCGATGTAGCTGTTGCTTCTGTTGACCTTTTATTTTCCTGGAATTGTCATTTTCACATGTTTCTTCTGAGCACATATGTTTATTTTGGTTGATAAATTTGCAGGCATTTGCATTTCATGTGGTAAAATAGCAACATTTTTTGTTTTAAACTTATTCTCCCATTTGCCTGTCCTGGAACATTCAGGTAGGCATAATCTTTATGGAATGATTTACCCATGTGTTTCAAATGGTTAATTTCACGTTAGTTGTTTGGATCTAGACTCTATGATGAACTCATACAGTTGATAGGAATATAATGGTTTCCCTTTTCCATTATGACCTTGAAATATTATTTTCCAGTTCTCCTGTACCACTGTGCGTTAATGACAGTTTTGAAAGCAGTTTACTATCTACAAGTGCAAACCAACAGATCTTATCTGTTTGCAGACATGATTAAATTCATCTAAATTTATATTTTGAAGTGAAAGCCAGATGTCATTTTGAAAGTCCTCTGAAGTGAAAAGTTTTTCGGTTTCATGTTCTCTTTCGGCTATGTTTTAACAATGAGGCTAAAAGAAATAAAAGTTTAACTTTTTGAGTGGATGATGCCTGTTTAACTGTCTAGTTTTTAAGACAATGAGGCTTTGAAATTGGCTCAAGTACAACCAAATCACTTAGTTTTTCTGCTTTATCCTTTGGCAGATGTGCTTTTGGAAGTAGGAAAATATACTATAATTTGTTTGATATATCTTGAAAGTGAAGTCATGCAAATTGTATTCTACTCTGTCATGCAAAAAAAGAGATTAAATACAGTAATATCTGTGCAAGGATAATTAATTGTTTGGAAGTGAAAGTTAGTGACCACAATTCTGTTTTATTTTTATGGGAAGTTACTTTCAACATTTTGTCCATAAGTTGTTTAATTTGATAACTTATATGGTAAGGTTATTTGATAGCAAACATATCAGAAACTAAAGAATCCTTGTGATATCTAGGAAGTTACATACATGAATTCTGATATATCCATTTCTCGTCGTTGTAACAGATGATAGTTACGATTGCGGATGAGGATGGGAATTATTTACAGGAGGCCTGGGAACATATATTAACCTGTGTTTCCCGATTTGAGCATTTGCATCTCTTAGGAGAGGGTGCTCCTCCTGATGCAACTTTTTTTGCAATTCCTCAAAATGAGTTTGACAAGTCGAAACAATCCAAATCAAATGTTCTTCCAGTTCTTAAGAAGAAGGGACCTGGAAAGATTCAGAATGCAGCTGCATCTGTGAGAAGGGGTTCATACGATAGTGCTGGTATAGGCGGCAATGCTTCTGCATGGATTACTTCTGAACAGATGAACAATTTGGTCTCTAACTTGAACATGTTGGAACAAGTTGGTGAAATGAGCCGTATATTTGTAAGGAGTCAAAAACTAAACAGTGAAGCAATAGTTGATTTTGTCAAGGCACTTTGCAAGGTGTCCATGGAAGAACTGCGATCTACATCTGATCCACGGGTCTTTAGCCTTACAAAGATAGTTGAGATTGCGTATGTTTCTTGAAGATTCTGTCTAGCTTCTCTGCTATTTCCATCTGATCCATCTGAAATAGTTTTCATCTTTATTTTGTTACACTTGTATTTTGGAGATGAAAATAACTTTATTTTCTTTCCAGGCATTATAATATGAGCCGCATCAGGCTTGTTTGGTCAAAAATCTGGCGGGTGCTCTCTGATTTTTTTGTGACCATTGGGTGTTCTGAAAACCTCTCTATTGCAATATTTGCCATGGATTCTCTACGACAATTGTCAATGAAATTTTTGGAGCGAGAGGAGTTGGCAAATTACAACTTCCAGAATGAGTTCATGAAACCATTTGTAATTGTAATGCGTAAGAGCAGTGCTGTTGAAATCAGAGAGTTAATTATCAGATGCGTTTCTCAAATGGTCTTGTCCCGTGTGAACAATGTTAAGTCAGGATGGAAGAGCATGTTCATGGTATTAAATCTACTTTCCCTCTTGTTCCTGATCATTCTGGTCCCATATAGCTGGCCTATGACTATATTTAAATGTGTTGTTACTTGGTGACATATTTTTTTATATTATATGGTTAATTGGTGACATAATATATTTTTGTTTCCTTAACACATTTATAAACCTGTTGGTTTTTTCCCTATCGGTTCTCATACAAGTTGGTATATTTTTCCAGGTCTTCACTACAGCTGCTCAGGATGAGCGCAAAAATATTGTCCTCTTGGCCTTTGAAATAATTGAGAAGATTGTACGAGATTATTTCCCATATATTACTGAGACAGAGACTACCACATTCACGGACTGTGTGAATTGCCTGATTGCATTCACTAATAATAGATTCAACAAAGAAATTAGTCTCAATGCCATTGCTTTCCTTCGTTTCTGTGCTGCAAAACTCGCTGAAGGTGATTTGGGTTCCTCTGCAAGGAACAGGAACAAGGAAATTTCTGGAAATATCTCACCGACTTTGCCACAGAAGGGAAAAGATAAAAGAAATGAGAATGGAGATCTAACAGAGAAGGAGGATCATTTATACTTCTGGTTTCCTTTGCTGGCTGGTAAGACAAAGCGTGCATATTTTTATTGGTCAGTCTTCTGTTAGTGTTGATAAAGCTTAATCTTTTTGACTGGGAAGATGGTATAAACTCACCCTCTGTTTCCTCTCTGTCCAGGGTTATCTGAACTTAGCTTTGATCCAAGGACTGAAATAAGAAAGAGTGCCCTACAAGTACTCTTTGACACTTTAAGAAATTATGGCCATCATTTCTCTCTACCTTTGTGGGAACGGGTGTTTGAGTCTGTCCTTTTTCCAATTTTTGACTATGTTCGTCATACTATTGACCCTACTGGTGAAACCTATCCAGAGGAGGGGTTTGACAGGGAAAGTGGTGAACTTGACCAAGATGCTTGGCTTTATGAGACATGTACCTTAGCTCTGCAACTGGTTGTAGATCTTTTTGTTAAATTTTATGACACTGTGAACCCCCTTCTGCGAAAAGTCCTGTCCTTGTTGGTGAGTTTCATCAAGCGTCCTCACCAGAGCCTTGCTGGTATTGGAATTGCTGCATTTGTCCGTTTGATGAGCCATGCCGGGAATCTGTTTTCTGAAGAAAAGTGGCATGAAGTTGTTTTCTCCCTTAAAGAAGCGGCTGATTCAACACTTCCTGATTTTTCATTTGCTCTTAATGAAGATAGTGAAGTCTTGGTCCATGATGGAGATGTGAGTAGAAGGAGCAGTGGGGAATTTGCTGGAGCTAATGCAGAGGATGAAGATCTAGAAAACTTAAGGAGACACCGCCTGTATGCTTCTATTTCTGATGCAAAATGTCGAGCTGCTGTTCAGCTTTTATTAATTCAGGTAAATATTACCATTAAATGCTATGCATTTCCCAATGACATGTTGGAAGTCCAATTAATAATCTCTCTCTCTCTCTCTCTCTCTCTCTCTCTCTCTCTGTGTATGTATGTATATATATGTATTGTTTTTGTCGTATGTATTTAAAATTTGATTCTGCACTCTTTCATCAACCTACTTGAAGTATTTTTCTCATTTGCTTAAAATTGGCTGACTATAGCTTTTCTTTTTATTTTTTTAAAAGCTAAAAGACGTTTCAAGGTGTTGTGTTTGCTTTTTTCTTCTGCTTTTAGCTTAATCTATGCTAAAGAAAAGCAGATGCTGAGAAAACTGCCCTGCAGGTGCTTTACAAATAGCTTTTGGCTTTGCAAAACTTACCCCAAAAAAAACAGAGGCTTGTAATTTTTAATAATTGTATGATATTTAGATTCAAAATAGCTTTAGCAGAAGAAAACAGGTTCAAAATGCTTGCTTTGGGATTGACATGCTTCTTAGATAACCATGAGATGTTTGTTTAAATAGTTGGTTAAACTGGTCTGACTTCAAATGCAAAGATTGAAGACAGAGGAATTAAGCAATGGCTTAATGGATTTGTCCTTATCGGCCATCCCCTGGTCATAATGGCATTGGCTTCACCCGTGTACTATTGTTATCTGCATATATTCCTAGCAAGACTGCTTTACCCTAGAGGCAAAGAAGAGATGGTGAAAGAGAAGAAATGATCATATGAGAAAACAGTTACAAATTTTTGGTATCCAATATCCTGAAGGCTGCAGTAATTTTAGGTTCGGTGATTACATATACCCCTTGAGGTTCAGCGGAGTTGATATTAGACTCCGTCAAATATGAAAATCTACCATCGAACCATTTGACTGAAGAGTCAAGTGGAAAAACTCCCCCGTGTCTTGCTAGAAATCATACCACCAGCTGGCATTTGATGTCCATATTCTTTTACTTTTGATTCTGTATTTAATAGTGCTACCGTATTTTTAGGTCTTTTGTTTTGAAAAGAATCCGTCTTCAGAAGCTAGTTTTTATGTGCTGCACCTTGTATTTCCATGAAATACTAGTGTATTTTTTGTTTTTGAAAGGATTCTGTTTTCAGAAGCTAGTTTTTATGTGCTGCACCTTGTATTTCCATGAAATACTTGTGTAGTCTGAATTTGACATTCAATTATTGTACGTTGGATTTACAGGCAGTCATGGAGATTTACACTATGTATAGATCTCAACTTTCGGTCAAAAATGTCATCATCCTCTTTGATGGTATGCATGCTGTTGCGTTTCATGCTCACAAGATAAACACAGATTCCACATTACGCGCTAGATTGCAAGAGCTGGGGTCCGTTACCCAAATGCAGGATCCCCCATTGTTGCGCCTTGAGAACGAGTCTTATCAAATTTGCCTCACACTTATGCAGAATCTTGCAGAGGATAGGCCTTCTCATAATGAAGAGTCGGATGTGGAGTCCTACCTGGTCAAGCTGTGCCATGAGGTGTTGCAGTTTTATGTTGAAACTGCACAATCCGGGCAGGTATCCGATTCATCTGTTAGTAGACAGATCCGCTGGGCTATTCCTTTAGGTTCCGGTAGACGGAGAGAATTGGCTGCACGAGCACCTATTGTTGTTGCAACTCTCCAAGCTGTTTGCAGCTTACAAGATACATCATTCGAGAAGAACCTCAGTTTATTTTTCCCCTTACTATCAAGCTTGATAAGTTGTGAGCATGGATCAAATGAGGTTCAGTTAGCCCTTAGTGACATGCTCAACTCCTCGGTGGGTCCAGTTTTGCTTCGATCGTGTTGAGCTTTTAGTGGACTTTGCTACACGCTTTTGAGCTACTTGTATGATATCTTTGTTGAGTCTTGCAAATTTTTTTCTTTTTATATCATAACCGTTATTGAAATATATAGATTCAGTGTATGATGAGATAGCGGAGATTTTTTATGCCAAGTGCTTTGAAACCTTGTAGTAATTTCAGGGAACTTGGCTCGATCTAGGATGTTAGGGTTATATTAGGAACTCCAATGTTGTATGATTAGCTCGCTTTTTTATATGGTAGAATGATCATCTCATGTAAAGATTGGTCCTTTGACATAGAATTCCAAGGTTTGCTTTGGACGTGTTTGTCCATTGCCTTACCATTTAGAGGTTTTTGGGGAGGAAGGAGGGGGGGTGGTGGTGGTGTTGTATGGCTTCCTTGGTTCCGAACTTTACTTATTCCTGCTTTCAACGAATTACCTAGGATACACTTACTATTAGTGATGCATCTATTCTCATCCTACTTATTAGGGTTGAACAATTCGACCTTCTGGCTTCATTCTGGTTGTGGTCGCTAAAGTAGCTGTGTTCTTAATATGATACCAAGAAAGAACACCAGCATTCTCAGTATTGTTAGTAGTATCTCAATCAAGAGATTTTAGTGAGCTTAACCAAGTTCACATTGTAGGAAACTATATGTATTATGTTTAATATTAGCGAAATTGCTGAAAAAAGATTGTTTCCACCACTACTTTCTTAATTGGTATGTTGGTTTTGACATGTTTTTTGAGCGCCAGTAGCTAAAGAAGCGGAGGAAGAATGGCCACTGAGACTTCAACCCTTTTTCTCTCTCTCTCTCTGGCAAGCTGGCTGTGGTTCGAGATGGACTAAGATCAAAGGGTTTTACTACGTCCAACTTGCTAGCAAGAATGTCGGGGACTGAGAGATGGGAGTTGTTGAACTAACCCAGTCCCTGAAATGTTTTTCTCAATTGATTGTTGAATCTGATTGCAAAAGTTCACTTAATCACATATTGGTCTTGGATCTTTGCTAATTGCATTTGCAGGACCCTACTTGTTAGCTAATGTCTAGTGTACTTTTTGATCAGGCACGCGTAGTGGACTCAGATGGACAAAGCAAGTAGAAAAGACCGCGTCATAGAAATATTTGCCAAGATGGGTAAAAATACTACTACTACTATCTATAGCTGACTGACTACGTGCCAACGGAATTTCTAAAAAAATTTATACGAAGTCTTTATGCAGCTAGTGGCAAGTTAATACAACAAGAGTGATTTACGCTAATGATACCTGCAAAAAATTGAAAAAAAAAAAAAAAGTATGATGATCAGAAGGATCTTATTGAGGATAATGGTTAGAACTATTTTATTTGTGAATGATACCCGATTGAACCATTTTATCTGTACGTCAATTCTTTGATTGGCTTTTGGGGTTCTTTTCTTGATTGGCTTTCCACTGCGGTTAGTTGACAATCCAGATGGATCTGGAGAGCAATGGAGACCGCATTTATTAGTGACCTGACTTGAATTTTTTTGGCAAATGATGATATAGCATTGAAAATAAGGAGGAGGGGCTCTGGTTTATTTACCTATCTCGAATTGAAGGATACATTGGGACTGGTGTGGTGTCCGACCATAATGCAGAGGCATTAAAAGCCAAGAGCTTATGTTATGGTCATCAAGGACAAATTGATTGCTCCTTCACTTGCGGAGACCCCAAGGTACTCTACCAAACCTCTCTCTCTCTTTTTTCCCTCCAAATTTTAGGCAAAAATGCAGAACCCATAATTATAAAATCAGATGCCGGCAATCCCGCTACTATGTATAATGTATGTTCTTAACTGGCTACAACCAACCAAAAAAGTAAGGTGTTTTTTTCTCTTCTTTTTTTTGTGGGGAGGGGGTAGGAAGAAGACTTGAGATGCTTCTAGTCCTAGACTCTTTCCACATAGATTGGCTCTCGCTTTAACAGAGCTAGTAGTAGAAATGCAGTTGTGTTTTTAGTAAGAGGAAAATGCCTGTAAATCTCACATGGTTCATTTGAAGAAGAAAAAGGATGGTCTTAATTCCTACCATCCATCCGAGGAGCTCATAGCTTTGGATTACAAGAGCGGCAGAGGATTTCTGTAATTGCCACAGTGCATTCATGATCCTCGAGTATTGTACCATTTTTCCCATTTTAGACGCTTCATTATTTGCCTCAATCATTTTTGTCTAACTTTTTTTGACCGCAGGGAATAATACTACTACTATCTCGTACCCCTTTTGACTATAGTCTAATTGACTCCCTCCAGCTCGACCCTCCTTCCTTGCCAATTCAAAGCCAAAAAAAATCTCATACCACCATGCTGGATTCCCTCAAGATGTACTTGAAGAATTCTGCTTTGATCAAGTCAGTAAAATTCAGTTTCTTGAACCAGTTCAGAAGCTGGAAAAGGAGGAGATCGAAGGAACTTGATGCCGATTTGAGCTGGTTAACTGCTTCTTTTGCTGCCATGGAAGTATCCAACCAATTGAAACAGGTCTTCAAAATCATTGACAAGAACGGAGATGGCAAAATATCCCCTCTTGAGCTCAGTGAAGTTCTGCTGAGCCTCGGTCATGAAAAATCTTTGGCCACCACAGAAGCTGAAGGCATGGTAAGAGAAATGGACTGTGATGGAGATGGATTCGTTGACTTGGACGAATTCATGAACGTGATGGGCGCTGACGAAAGTGAACGAGTTGCTTCTTTTCTTGACAGAGAAGATGATCTTGCTGAAGCTTTTCAGATATTTGATGCCGACAAGAACGGATTTATATCAGCTAAGGAGTTGCAGAGGGTTCTGATCAGCCTTGGATGCCAAAACTGCAGTCTTAGAGAGTGCCGAAGAATGATAAAAGGGGTTGATAGAGATGGAGATGGAAGTGTAAACTTCCAAGAATTCAAGTCCATGATGAGTGCAGGATGTAGCAGAAATTAGTTCTAGTTAATTACTGCGCAGCAGCGTAAGTTGCCTGTGATAATCTGTACTTGTTTTTGAGATCACAACTTGGATTTAAGTTGCATTATCATAGTCATTCTTTAAAAAGGATTAGCTAGGAAGAGTTGAGAGGTTATCAAGATGATGATCAGCAGCGTGTCAGTCTAACTATTAATTAGGAAGATTAATTTGGGATTAGCATGTTTGAGTGCGTAAGAGAATTTTTGTTTGCATTAATTTTTTATATACACCTGCGGGGTAAGGGTAGAGGTAGAGTAGATGCATGCTACATAATTTGCAAGATTTAAAATTGAAGTTGAAATTATGATTTGATGTTATACATTTAGACTAGCTAGTTAACGTGTGTATGAATGATTATTCTCACCGTTAAAAACATCAATCCATTTTTTTTAATTATTTATTTATCTTTGTCAAAATCCAGTTTGTTTTAGGTTTGTTCTAAACATATACTACTAAGTTTCATTTTTTTTCTTTCAACAAAGATATAACCTACTCTATCCTAATCTATGGGGGGAGGGGAACCTAAGAAGGCTGTGGTAAGGGACTAGTGGGTATATAGACTCAACTAGATCAAAGAAATGCTATGGCACAATTCTTAAATTTTTTTCGCTGCGACCCTCACCTGCAGTCCAATCCATTGGCGCGTGGTTTACTACTGAGTTTTATCTGTTGCACCAAGAAAGTGGTCAGACCGAAAATTTTCATGTAAACCATACCAATCACAGCTTTTTATGCTAATTGTGTATTACTCCTATATACTAGTAGCTAGTATCTTGTCGCATCTTTCTGTCTATGAAAGGATAATTGGGAGTAAGAATGATATAGGAGAAAAGGAATACTAGTATTGAAGGCTGTCTAGCGTGGGACAAAGAAAGATTGAAAGAAAATTAGGAAAGCGCGTTGGTTGAAGAGAAGAGACAGGCAGTCAAGGGATTGGTTGATAGTTTTTCATTGGAGGAGGGTGAGGCGCAAGACTTTGACTGGTAGTTTGGAAGCATGAGGCCCTTATTGTTCTTGGTGCAACAACATTTTTCTGGTAATTTGGAAGCATGAGGCCCTTATTGTTATGGGATAATTTCAGAAACCTCTGTTTCATGAAATATCACCTAGCTCCCCTAAACTTTTCAAAATCTCACTTAACACCTTTGAAGTGATAGCAGGGTACATACTAATATCAAAGGTGATGAATTATCAATAATACCCTCATATTTAAATTTTCTAAACTTGTTTTTCTTTCTCTAAATTTTCTACTTTTCTTTAACAATGTCTATATAAACATACATAAATATATATATTTATATATGTATGTATAATTGAATTGCAAATGTCAATGAAATATTCAATGCATTTGCAGAAGAATAGCTGCAGGTTCTTTTTATTTTTTTTCCTTTTTTGGTGTTTCACAACTTTATTTATTTATTTATTCCTATTCATGTAAAGCGCAAGAGAAATAAAGTAATTGAAACTCCGAATAGTTTTTCAAATTCTGATTTTTTCTAGGGCAAAAAACTCCGGCGGCCATTAAACTATTGGCGAGATCATGTTTTGGCCATCGAACTATTTTTTGTCAATAATTGGTCACTAAACAATTTAATCAGTTAATCCGTGGCCATTTCGTCGTTAATTGCTCTTAAGTTCTGAAATTAGCATTACACGTGGCAATATTCAGGGGCAATTTTGTCCAGCAATTTTTTTTTTGATCAAGGATTGAGAGTAGTTGTCACAAGAAACCACGTGTAAAAAAAGAAGCCACAAGAATTACCCAACCCCAATTTACAGGTAACAAACCACCTACCACAACTAAACAAAACTCAACTGGTAAATTAGCCCAAAAAATTGTCAGAAGCAGAAAAAGAAAACGTGAACAATTTTTTGCTGAAACAGAACAAAATCCCTGAAATCACTACTTCCTAATGTCCTTGACCTTGTACCATCCCTTCTTGCATGAATCTCCAACAATCTTCACCCCTTTCTGGAAAAGAATCTTCAATTCCTTGGCCCTTTCCTTCACTTTATGCTCAAAGCTCCCCATTTCTTGAAAAACAAGAGCAGCGAAGAGAAACAGAGGTAGGCAAAAGAGTTTCCAGATTGAGCAGGTGGGCTTATGAAAAGTACGTGAACAGCTGCTCATTGTCCAGCAATTTACTGACCTTACAACTCAACTCCTCTGTTTATTCGTAAATAACAACTGTGTGTATGCTTGAGACCTCGTTGCCAGGTAGCTGACACAATAGCTGGGATTTCAGAAATATGCTCACTTTCCTTGCCAATGTTATTATTATCCTCTGGGTGTCCCTCCCGTTCAATTTGATTAAAGTGGGGCTCGATTTTGCGGCACGCCGAAGCAGCCTTGGCTACGTTGCTAGGCGGGAGTGGAGTTTGGGGGACGTCTTCTCCGGCTGCAGCAACCGGCAGTCATCTGGTTGAACGGCGAGTCCTGGTGGAAGGGTGTGAAGTAGTTTCGGATTCATCTTCTTAGACCGTCATGGTGGCCTTCCGGCGGGTGGTCGCGGTTCCTCTGGCAGCGGTGTGAGGAACGCTGAGGGATGCGAATTGAGATTTGGCTGGCGACTCGGTGGAAGATGCTGAAGGTCCAGCAACTCCTCTATTGTTCTGAAATTAGCCGTATTGGACTTTTAGGGTCAGTAAATTGCTGGACAAAATTGCCCCCAAATATTGCCACGTGTAATGCTAATTTTAGAACTTAAGAGCAATTAACGATGAAATGACCATGAATTAACTGATTAAATTGTTTAGTGATCAATTATTAACAAAAAATAGTTCGATGGTCAAAACATGATCCCGCCAATAGTTTAATGGCCGCCGGAGTTTTTTGCCCTTTTTTCTATAATAAAATTTTCATATTTCACACCCATAAAAAAAAGTCTGTCTATTTTGAGTAAATTTTTTGTATGATATTGAAGTTGATTTCCATTTATTACTAAGTTTTTTTTGTTCAAATGTATGATTTTACATGTTAATTACCTTCGACACTATGAAAGGTTCTATTTATAGAAATAGCTTAAAAAATAGTATTTGCTTTTACTATCTCTTTCTACTGTAAAAGTAACTATTGACTGTAATATAAAATCTTACTAATTTTCATCTCATCACTTTTAAGATGGTTCCAATATAGTACTTTTTTTTTCTTGATTTATAAAATGTTCATTTTTTTTATAGTCTAAGGGTATTAAAGGCACTAAAATAATCTCTCTTCTCAAACTTGAATTTTTTAATATTACTTTTTGTTAGAAGGGCTTCCAATGTTACTAAAATGTCAATTCAAGGGGTGCTAAGTGAGATTTTGAAAACCTCAAGGGAGTTAGGTGATATTTCATAAAATCTCAGGAGAGGTTTATGAAATTATCTCTATTGTTATTGGTACAACTACTTTTTTTTTTTTGTAACGATAATATTTGTATAATCTAATTTATCAAATCTGACTAGATCAAAGAGGTGCTCTGATACCTCATTTAATTTTTTTTTCACTGTAAATAGGTTCGAACCCTTGACCTACAATTCAATTCAAAGAGGGACTTAGTCCTTCCAAATAATGCAAAAATAAGAAAACATTACAAAAGCGATGTTGTTGGGGATTGGCTTCCAGATTAACGGTCGCCTCAAATGTCATATGAGGTTTCATAAAAAATTGATTTAAATTTCATTTTTTTTAAAGTCGGAACCAATATATTTTGCTGTTGAATTGCTGCAAGCAGAGGATAAAAAAAAAATTTCAGAAACTGCAAAAGTAATTTGCGGCGAAGGTAAAAAGTTTTTATTTCTAAAAATTTTGAGGCAAAAGGTACATGATGGTCCCACAATTTTTTGAGATGTGGGGAGAAAGATCGTGACCGTTCGTATCTTAGTGTCTGGCTAATGACCGCACATCTAATGGCTTGGCGTCTACAGCTTACTGCTTACCATTAGCTCCAATTTTCTCCTATTGGCAGTATTAGCTGTTTCATCTCTCTTTCTTTTTTATGGTTCATTTCCAGGTGATTTAGTCTCTTAAACTTTTGTTTTCTGGCAGGTCTTTCACTTCTTGGGTATCCTGGACTACTAAAAGCTATTGATCCGGCTTATGCCGGCGAATTTCTTAGAATAATATTAAAATAAAAAAATATTACAAATGTGGGGTTGATTTTGTTTTTAAGGTTCGCCGCAAATGGAAAAGTAAAGGTTTCAAAAAAAATTGATTTCAATTCCATTTTTTTCGTTGCCAACGAAGTAAAAGGACTGAATTTTTTTTTTTTTATATTTTACAAGGCTTCGCCGCACCTCAAAAGGATGGCGAAGCAAATAATTTTTTTTAAAGGATTCGCCGCACCTCAAATGGGCAGCGAACCTTATTTTTTTAAAAAAATGGAATTGCGATGATTTTGCCTGCAAACCCCATCCCTAAGACACTAAAATCCTAATACGTAAACCCTAACCCTAAAAGTTGCAAATATAATTTAACTATAAAATAGTGCTAATTTCATAAATGGTGATTAATCATCCTATAAAAATGCTTTCAGCTTCCTTCTGGTAGAAAATATAAAATGAATTGAAAATTAAATATGTCCAAATCATCCATTTTTGAATTTTTTGGTTTTAATGTTGGGCAAGACATATTGAAAATTAAATATGTCGAGTACATGAACAACATGTGTGGATGTACCCCTCTGCGACACCTACCTTCCTGTTTTCTATCACGCATTTGCTTAGCTAAATGCACGACAGGCATCTCAAAAGGGACCGTACGAGAGCTAGATAGGCCAACATCTTAATGATCAAATGGGCCAACTGCCATTCTGATTCTTTGATTCAAGTATTGTAATGTCCCGAAAACCTTTTCTCGAATTGCTATCAGTGCAGGATGAGCACACTGCGCAGGATTGACGGGATCGAGATACATATTACAGAGATTTTGCAACTGTATGAGGTCAGCAACTATGGTGTTATGACAGTCCATCAGCTACAAGAATCCTCTATTATAAGATTAGATGCCACCACTTTGTCTCGTACAAAATGATCAACTCCAGCAAAAAGTAATAATCCCAACTAGCAGAGGATTCTAACGCTTTTGCTTAAATTTAGCATGTCATGATCAGCATCATAGGAAGTAACAAATGAATATTTATATAATTATCTTCATATTGAATGCAACTAGAGCATGGGAAAATCACTACTGATGATAA